CCTCCCTCCCTCTCTCCTTCCCTCCCTCCCTCCTTCCTTTACATTGGTCATCTTAAATAGCATACAGCATGATCTATTTCTCTTTTCTTAATATTTCTACACAATATTTTTATTTTTGGAGTTTTAGAATACAAATTGTCAAAAGTGTCATTTGTAGATATTTTTTAATGTCCTTTCATGAATTGTTTTCTTTATTTTGATATATGTATATCTTAATCTTGAAAAACTACTATCTGATTAGATTAATACTCAGCCAAAACAGATATTAACTTGACATTGTGGTTTGCAGATTCAAGTGATCAGCTTTGCCACGGAGCAGAACTGGGACTCCCTTGAGATCCATGATGGTGGGGACATGACTGCGCCGCGGCTGGGGAGCTTCTCAGGTAGGAGGCAGTTCCTGTCTTGGCTGGTGGGTCAGAGTCTGAAGCCAAAGCACACAGCAGTGCACACTCTGGGAGTTTCCTGCTGGGCTCCTGCGTCTCCGTGTGCTTCTGGAGCCAGTGGAGTGTGGGAGAGACCTGGTGGCTCAGCGAGGTGTGTCTGAACCGACTGGTGGCTCAGCCTCTCAGAGGTGGCCTTCTGAGGCTGCCCATGGACAGCAGAAGCCAGTGAGCCTGTGAGTGGGCAGGGAGAGTTGGCACCAGTTCTGAACTGTCACCTAAGGTCCTCTGCCTGGGGAGTGACTCTGCACCTGGGCCTCGCTGAGCCTTGTTCTTCTGGCCTCTGTACCYCAGATGCTCCCAGCTCAAGGGGCCAGATCTGGGCGTGGCCAGCTGCAGTGCGGCCCTCTGGCTTTCCCCGGCACCTCCTGTGCACAGGTGCCTCGTGCTGCTGGGTGCACCTTCCATGGTACCCAGGTGGGCTTCCTGCCCATGGTCCCTGAGAGGCCTCAGACCTGGGTCAGCTTTGCTCTGTCCTGGCAGCTCATCCCGCCCCCTGGCCCCTGAGCTCCTCCCTATGTGGCCCTCCCCATCAGAGCAAAGGTAGCCAAGGCCGGTGTCTTCCTGGTCACAGCCCTCATCACGATAGCCAGCCCCTACAGAGCRCTGGTGTGCTGGCCCCTGCTCACACGCCTCCAGACCTTGGAGATAGCACACAGAGCAAAGTTCTGTTGCTTTCCTCCTTTTACAAATGAGGGACAAAGATTTAAACATAGAATTGTCCAAGATGACAAGTCATAATTCCCTGAGCCACACCCGTCTGCTCCCGTGAAGGACCATGAGATGTGTCACCTGTAGCCGCCACTTCCCTGCCCCACCCTGAGAAGGAGGGCTGTTTGTGGAGTGCATTCCTCCATGCTCTTCGCCTGCTGGAAGGTGGCGCCTGGAGAGGCCGGGCCCTTCACAGTGTCCTCTTGAGTTTAGTCCTGTCACTTTAAGTAATTCGGGGACCCTGTCTCTGGCGTTCTGCAAATGAGAGCAGTGAAGTGCCTCACAGCATTGCTGTTCTCCCCTGTGTGGTGGCTGTCCTTATGCCCTCTGCACCCTGTGGAGCTGTCTCTGCAAATGGCCCGTTGGGATTCAAGGAGATAAGGTCTCTGGCGTTAACTGTAGCAACATAACTTCAGATCTAGAAGTAGGAGCCAAAATTTGATCTGATTCTGTTAGATCCTGGGCKTAAGCAGCACTACAGTAGACTTCCAGCTTTGTAGGAGGGCAAAAGTAACATTGTTTCAAGATTTAGGGGAAACAATTAACAGATTAGTGATATGGCTTTGCAAATGGGTGGGACACTCCCTGAAACTAGGACCAGTGGCTTTGAGCTTGTGTTCCACTACCCTCAAACTTGCCTTTGTTCTTCTCACTTTTCTATGTTGTTCACTTGTTTTCTAGACACTTAAGCTTCTTGAGAAAATCTGTCGATCTGTCTTCATCACACACCATTCCTAGCTCCTTTCGTACTCAGCTGGTAAAACATGTTTACAGGGTATGTGTTCTGCCGCTTTTTGATCTGCCGATTACATCTCACCGTTCACACCTGTTCCTCTGTATTAACCCATGTGTAGCGGCCTCACACGAAGCCTTCTCTTGAATAGCTCCGTTTCCTCATTTGTACTTGGAGTCAGCCAAGTTTTCAAATGAAAGCATTTACTATGGAACTCAGTTTCCACCTGATATTCTCAGGCAGGAACGTGTCASTGAACACACCCTAAATGCACTGAGCCAGCCGAGAGCCAGAGAAGGCAATAATGAGGCCRCTGCGTGACTGAGCAAAGTTAGCAGGAAAGTGACTCGGAGCAATGGAGACCTGAAAGCGTTTCCTAGCACATATGCCAAGGAGTCGCACACCGAAAAGCAACGCCTCTGTTCATTCCTGTTTTTGAAATTAGCAAAGAGAAATTTTCTTTAAAAGTTTTAGACRTGAACACCACTGTAATTCAGTCCTGATACACTTTCCTGGAGTGACGGTTAGCTTCAGGGACTGCTCAGGTGGAAGGCACTGTTTTCCACAAACCTCGCAGTAACCAAGCTCCAGAGCCCCCAGGCCAGCRGTGCTGGCCTCCGCTCAGGGGCATCCACTGACACCTCTCTGACTCAGAAACCTGTGCTGCTCCTTAGGATTGCCRTTCTACTAAAAGGGCACAGATCAGGATCAGCCAAGTAGACCCAGAGGGTGACAGCAGGAGGGGCCCAAGCTCAAAGCTTCCAAGTCCTCCGAATGCGTCACCTTCYAGCCACACTGACGTGGGTCACCCACCAAGTTCACCGAGCTGTGGGGYGAGGGTTTTCCTTGGTCTGGTGGGTGAAGCTCTGCCTTGAGGCTGCAGCCCTCTGCCCTCCCAGAGATCCGGAGGCCGAGCTCCTTATCCAATAGCTGACCCGTCCTGTGGCAGCCCCAGGGAGGGTCGTGGTGACGTGATTGTAACTGTGCTTCCCACCACACGTGACAGGGGCACACCTCCCACTGCGGGTGTCAGGGTTGAGCTCATCTGCTGGACCTCTGGGACGAAGTCCAGACAAACTCTTCACTACACAGTGACCACTACCAGCAACTACAGCTGGACTGATGCTGCTGCTCCAATTTTGAAATAGTTCTAGATGTGAATCACAGAAGGAGGACACTCACTAAAATAYTGAGGAAATACAGGGGAAGTGGAGTCTTGTAGCCTTGTTTTCTTGGTACTAGATTTGGCCCCAGTATTTTCTGAGGCATGCTGGCCGATTGCTGTGTGATGGSGGGGCCAAGCTGGAGACAGCTCTGAGCTGGTCCTTGATGTGCAACTCTGGTACTTTTCCCCAAGTGGAGATACAGGTCTTTACAGTACAAGATGCGAGRTTTGAATCTAGAAATTCTTCCCTCAAATAATTATAGAACTTGTTTGTTGCTTTCAACTTAATTAGTAGAAAAGACAAAGATGTAAACATTTCAGAAAACAAATTCTGGCTTAAACAGAAACATAAGTGAACCAAAAAGAATTCATTAAATAGTCTGTGAAGATGTAAATCTAAYTAAAAGAAGGTAACTGGGCCCTAACAACATGCAATAATTTTGCTTTATATAATAACTTTTCATCCAGTTAAGACAGGAGGGCGGATGAAATATCTCCATGTTCACTTAAGTGAATGAGTTTATATTTCACATCCCTTTTCTCAGAGCCGGTGAGTGGGTGCACTCGGTTGTATCTGACGTTTTCTGAAGTTGAAGAGACCTGCCRCATTTCATAGCTCCCATTCACAAGTTGATAGAATGTTGGGAGCCCCTGGGGCTGTCTGATGTTTTCCGAGGCACCCCTGCTCCCACACAGTGCTGCTCGGCTGATGGAGCCCGCTCTCCGCCCTCCGTGCTCAGCTGGGCAGGGCCGTGGGCTGGTGCTGTGGCCCTAGTGCTTGGGGGAAGCTCAGGGGCAGAGGCAGGGCCAGGGCCTGGGGTTGCTGAGGCTTGCGGCCATGGTGATAACCAGTGACTGTGTGTTTGCTCGAATGGAAAAAACAATCAAGAAAACCCTCAAACACGTGCTCTAGGTGGAGCATGAGTGTATTATATTAAGAAGTAGCCGTAAAGAGACTCCCGTTCTCCTCTCGCTCCCACGGGGCTCTCGTTCTCCTTTTCTCACTCTTCCCCCAAGGATGGGAGACTGCTTGCTGGGGGTCTCAGGTTCTCAGGGGTGGGCCGCAGGGAGCGTCGTCACTGACCGGCAGGTCCTCAAACCATCTCGGCCAACTTCTCTGCTGCCTCTCGCTCTGCAAATAGACAGGCTTGGTTTGGCCAAAGACCTGATGTCCACGGGCCTTCTATCTTCACCCCTGCGCTTCCTGGGTGAATTGTTGTGACGCCTAGGTCATGGCTCTCTCCCAGCCTCCGACCTGCCTTCTGTATGCAGAGCCCAGGGGGTAAGTCCCGAGGCTGGTGGGTAAGGAAATGACAGACAGGCCCAGCACACAGCTCCACACAGCTGCTCAGGAGGCGGCCTCTTGCTTCTGAGGGCTGTATGGTATTTGTCCAGATTTTAAAAAGAGAACTTAGTTTCACTTCTGCTCTGGGTCTTCTCTTGATTTGCTCTTGGTCAGACACATCAGGCTGTGAGGAGTGGGTTGTCTGCACACTGCACAGGAATTGGTCAGTTTTGATTAATTTTGTCACAGTTGGGGACCAAGTGAGGAGGCTGGTCTGCAGGGTTGGGGACTGACATTCCCATGAGATGGGAAGATCAGCAACTGAACACATAAAACTCATCCGGGGATAACACACCCAGGCCTCCCGGTGCATTACAATACGCAGCCCCGGGAAAGCTGACCTGCCGCGTCTGATCTGAGTCAGACGTTGGCGTGAGCTCATGGCTTCATATCGACAGCTCTGCACATAAATAAAGCTGCATGTGTGACACCCTTTTGCCACCTTTGTCTGCTGAGGTATGAAGGGGGACGCCCCTCAGCAGCGCCCCTCCTGGTCCCGCCTGCACTTCTCAGCACAGCTCTGACCGTGCCCTTAGGAGAACCAGAATCCCTAGAGACCTGTAGTCTCCAAGGCTGTGGTAGAAGGAGAACTACAAAGAGCCATTTTGCATAAACTAAAAATTCAGGACCCCTGGCTGAGGTAAGTAGGAGCCCTGGAGTGAGGCAGGAGGCCCCTGCTGAGGGCCAACCATAGACATGGTGTCAGGATCGAAGGCCATCTTTTGGCAATGCTAATGAAGATGATGAGAGCCTCAGGCTGGAGCATCCTGGGTGCTGAGGATGGGGGTGACGTGGTGTGAGAATCACCACTCCACAGTCTCAAGACCTGCCTCCCAAGCCCATGCTCATCGCAAAGGGGAAGAGCGGTGCCTTCCTAAGGAAAGAGTGCCAAGGTCCTGRATGAGGGGATGTGGCCTGGGTGTCACTGACAGCCCAGCTCCCCAACAGACCAAGAGCAAAGCTCAGCTACCTGCCATATTGTGGTTACTGTGGCGGGAGCTCCCCCTACGGGCAGCACAGGGCACTGCAGGGCCAGGGGTCCAGACACCAGGGCCCTCTGGACTGAAGGGCATCGAGGTACCAGCAATCACAGCTTCCTTGGCTGGCGGGTAGTTGGGACTTAGCGAGGGCAGAGCTTAGATGGCAGTGTGGCGTCATGCTGGTCTGGACTCTGAGAACGGCTGGATAAGACACGAGTCTCTGTGTGCATGGCTTGTTTACCAGTGGCTGAGGATAAAACCGTCCTAAGACGGGCTCACACCTATGTGTGTATTACAGATATTATAGAGAATACTGTAGGCACCATTATCTAACAGACCAAGTGGATATACCAGAATTTTCTGCATTGCACTTTACTCTAGAAATTATTTCAAAACTCTTAGAATGAGATTTCTTTTTTTGAAATTTCATGGAAAAAATGACAATCATTCAAAAAGTTTGTGTTAGAATGCAATCAATATTTAAATAGGTTTGTTTCTGCAATGCTTTAAAAAGGCAGTGATAAAGGAGATATTAAACTCATCTTAGTTGTTGAATAAAACAAATAAGAATGAGCAGGCATAAGAGGTTCACACTCCAGGAAAAGCGACTGACATCTCTAATAAATTCCATGTTTTGATTTTTCATTTCTGCTTGGACAGGCATATGCATGTAGGACTTTTTGTAAGCCATTTAAAATCATTTTTGAAGTAGGCAGATCATAAATTATAAATGAATAAAATAGAGCAAAATACATACAAATCTGTACTGACAATCAATATGAAAGGAAAGTAAACATCCGGGTGCTCGGAGTGGAATCTTCAGGGACCATAATAAAATTTCTCAGTTTTCCTCATTCCATGTTGTTCTATCTAGGTCACAGTAAAACAATGTGATCAAAAGGATCCTGCCTGTGGCAACACTTTTAAAACCCTGCTCAGTTGCATTTAGCACCTGGGAATGAGCTCCTAGCTAGAGTCACTCTGGAGCCCACAGGAGGCACACGCAGTCCAGCTTCAATGGTGCCAGGAGTAGCATCCTCCTGGCCTCCAGAGAAATGGGTCCTGCTCACCTTGTGTCCCATCTGGGCCTCAGGACCCTGCATGGCTGGTAGAGCAGAGAGTGTGCATTTCACCACAGATGTACAGGAGGACTGTTGGGGGATTATCACTGTCATATCCGGCAGGACATGAGAACTCACAGAGCACCTTTGTCTCTGCTGCTCATGTAATAAAGACGGGTTGTTATTTCTACTGTACGGGGACATATTGATTAGGACATATTAATATTTTGTAGTTGACTTAAGGTGATAGAGATGATTCATGTCAGAACTAGGTCAGAAACAGGTTTTCTGATTTTGCTGAATTGCAACTGTGGGAAACCGATAAAGGGACACTTTCAACAATGTGTTCTGAGTCCCCGTGTGCCATCGCTGTGCTGGGGATGGAGCTACTACATACACTTGAAATCCTGGAAGCTAGAATCTTATCTTCTGAAGGGGGACAGTGGGGGAAATGGAAGCCCACGTGACCCGCTGGGTGAAAGGGCCTCCTGGGTGGGAATCCGGGGAAAGGTGCCTGAGCACGCACAGTGGCTTCTCGCTGGTCCCCGGGAGGAGCCCAAGGTGGGAGGCGGAGGATGATACTGCTTTTGTAAAGGCTTCACGGTGGACACAGACAGTGGTGTGGAGACCGTCACCGTGTCCCTAGACTGCGGGCAGGGCCAGCAAGACATGACCCAGGTGGCACAGTGAGAGCTTGGTGGGTGGGTGCTGGAGCTGGGCCTGCAGGGACGGGGTTTCCTCTCTGCAGTATCACCCAAAACACGAAAGTAAGGCAGAGTGGGAGGACACAGCCACGGGAGTGGARCCGAGCAGGCGGAAGGAGGCATCTGAGGCGCCTCCTTCTTTCTCTTAGAAAGCGGGTTGAGTGGCGCGTAGAGGAGGCCTCACGTCCTCCACGTCCTGCCCTCCAGCCCTTCGGGGCCCTCAGTGTCCTTCACAGCCAACTGCCCTGGCGGAGGGGCTGGGGCAGGAGAGGCCATGCCTCGGAGGCCCAGGTCACCTCTTTGCCACCTCCCTGCGCGGGCACCCCGTCGTGTGCTCTGTGGTTCAAACACCCAGCTCCTTTTACCATTTAGGCCCCACAGTTGTTCCATTGTAAAACCCGTCTATCCATCATCTACCTACTACCTCCCTGTCTTTTTCCTACCTGTCTCCTCTCTATCTACCACTGTTTCCATCTCTATCATCCATTTATCTACCTATCCACCCTTTTATCCTATGTCTATCTCCATTTATCACTAGTTCCTCTCTCTCTCTCTCATCTGTCACCTATTATCTATCTTAGTCAAGGACAACAGAGAGGTTGAATTAGTGAGCACCCTCTGTTTCTCATTCAGCAAGGACCTACAGTGTTTTGGGCACTGTGATTCAGGCCTGAAAAGGCCCCTCATCTGGAGCCAACTCTTCTTGAGGCACAGACCCCACATCACAAGCAGGAGCACTAACTCCCCTAAGTGTGCGTTCACACACTCCTGCAGGATTTCTGTCTGGAGAGCACTTAATCAGCAAGTGGCTTAGCTGGGAAAGGGCTGGGGATGCCTGGGTGGGAAAATGAAGAAAGGCCCAATGGGCCAGGACAGAGGGAAGGAGCACACTCCAGGCTCAAGTCTATGAGCAACCTTGAAATAGGAGGAGTGAGTTATGGAAAAGGAGGTACTGAGAAGAAGCTAGAAATGCAGGCCTGGTCAGATCATGCATGCTCCTTGGGCCAAATAAGGAGTCTGAGGTTTGGTCCTAATGTGATCAGGAACCTGAGCATTTCAGCATGACTCTGCCGTACACGTCGTAGTTTTTAAAAGCTTCCCGGTTGCTAAATAGAGGATGCATTGTGCACAGGAGCGGAGCAGAGCCTGAGTTAGGGATGAGCATGGTGATGTGGCTGAGCCCACTGCTGGCCTGCACTGGGTGATGGAGGGAAGATGGCCAGAGGAGAGGAGCCTGTTTGGGGCAGGATTCAGGAAGCCAGCCAGTGAGCRCCTGCCAGAGGGCAGTGGGGGTCATGGAGAGGGAGGGAGCTTCAGGTGTGGTGGCTGCCGAAAGTGACAGGCAGCAGGGGCCGAGGAGAGCTCAGTCTGCATGTGCTGAAAGCCTGAGGACGGCCACATGACGGATGGACAGGTGGAGACAGCTGGCCTTCCTGAGTGGCCGGTTCAATTAAAGCTATTGGAGGGTCTAGAGACATTCCATAGAGAGCAACGCATGAGCGCCGGGTGTTTTCAATACCACACACCTATTCTGAACAGTCACCAGCTGACTTACTACTTACTAGCGCTATCTTTGACCTAGTTCACACTAAGAACTTGCCTGCTCCGGGGTGACTTTCACCAGAGGGTGTTTCCTTGATGTCCAGCTTGCTTATGTCCTTGTTTACAGAATGGTTTCTGTGCAGGAGACGCTCAAGCATACATTTTCTGAGAAGTCAATAAGCTTGCTGATCCTTCCCCCAGCGCGATGCACCCCATCAACCACAGGCACAGTCTTAACCTGCCTTCCCGTATCAGGGCATCCTCTGCCCCTTGGCCTCAGCATCTGTATCCTCCCAGCACCTGCCATGCAGGCGGGGCCCTTCAAGCGAAGGAAGCATTTTCCTGTCACATCTGTGTATTTGAAATCATTAACAGATCTCGGTGGGAAGAGGGTTCAGTGTGAGCCACACAGGGCCGGAGCATGGGGTCCCAGCAAACACCCAGGCTAAACAGGAGTGAACAAGACCAGCTCTGGGGACATTTAGGTCCAAATGAAGAGGCCTGTGTCCTGTGCTGGGTGCTGGAGCTCTGGCCCTCTCTCCCACAGGTACCACGGTGCCTGCGCTGCTCAACAGCACGTCCAACCAGCTCTACCTGCGCTTCCAGTCCGATATCAGCGTGGCCGCCGCCGGTTTTCACCTGGAGTACAAAAGTAAGGCCATGCTCTGTGTCTTTCATTGCTGCATTCATCACTTTCTAAAAGGAACCTCTGCTCATTGAGTAGTGACCTTTTGTTTTGAAAAACTATGAAAATTTATGAAAATGAGTCTTACAAAACCAAGGTTGTGTGAAACCTTCCTAATGGAAGGTAAATTCATAGAGAAATGTAGAAGTTAGTTTCTGGAATAATTATAAAAAACAACTGCTATAATTTCATGTTGTTTGTGTTAAAAAATGCAAAAACTGTAATATTACTAGTTTTCTATGAGTGATAACAAATATTCATATCAGCATCCAAAGACAGAAAATTTTAATTTCCAACTAGATTATGCCATAAGCCTCTTTCATTTATAGTCTCAAAGGCTGTTAAAATAAGAACTAACAGAGAGCAGTCGCTTAGGGGCCTACTCTGCGTGCTATTCATTTTAATTAGAAGAAAGTATGGCAGAAGCAACACTAACCTTTGAGAAACAGATGTGAGGGATTTAATAGTCTGATGAACAGGATGACAAAGGTCAAATGCTCACCGCTTCTTTGGCATCTGATCTTGCAGGTGAACCCTGCAAAAGTGAAGTGAGAATTTGCAATAAGAGGTTTATTTTAGGACATGTTTTCAAGCATGAAAAATGCTGGGTGTTCGCGTTCATCTCCTTTAATAAGCAGTTGCAAATAAGCAAATACACAGATAAGTTTTAATAAGTGATTTTTGAATTGAGACAAACGTTTTTCAAGATGTAGTGCAGGCAGGCTTGTGAAGGCTGTGTTTCCAGCTGGTGATAAATATTCTGAACCAGACACAAACCACAGGCCTGCTTCACATTCTGGTTAAATTTCCCTACTCATTACAGGCATTTGCATGCAAGTTCATTCTAATCTATATGAGTAGGAATGCTTTAGTGACAGTATAAAAGGATACTGGGGATGTTATTTATGTAGAATAAGTCTGGAAAAATATGCTCTCTGATACATTTTGCCAATGTCTATAGATAGGAAAAAGTAAACCTTATTTCTCATAGTGTCGATAAATTGATTAATATATTAGGAATTTTATAATTGGTAAATGATTTTCTCCATCCCAAGTTGTATTATGGTTTCTGGCTTTTTGTTCATTCTTCATGGGGTAACATGCTAGTAAAACAATTAGTCTGTAATTATTCTACACTATTATCTAGTACTCATGTGAGATTCCGCTCCCCCAGTGCACATTCCACTTTATTCCTAGTCAGTATAGTTCACAGAGGAACTAGCCTATTTCTCACTGAAATGAGCCACTTTCAAGAATCCAAAGCCTTGCTTGAGAATCCAGAATCTTGTTTAATCACTTAAAGCATTTTTAATTTGGCCAAACAAAATGACACATTGGCATTAGTTGTGATTTTCTTTCTCAAGCAGTTATATTTCGAGGCTAACTAACACCATGCTGAGAGTTCATGTCACTGGGTATTAAGAAGAGTCTGTTCTCTGCTCTAACCCTTCAAGGCAGTTTGAAATGTGGATGTTATGATGTGTTTCTAGAATCAACCTTACTAACATCTGCATCAAACGACCTAAGACTGTTGACACTATGTCACCAAAAGAATATCTATTGTTTTAAATCCATCAGTATATTTGACCATCTACCTTCTGCAGATCTCTAAACTCATGTTTTTCACTAAAGTATATATAAATCTATATAAATACAAGATACGATATAGCCATCAGTGTCTGCTTGACGCCTGGGCTTGCCCGGAGCCTCCCCCAGCTCTGCTCACAGTCCTTGCACACCTCTGCCTTTCTGGGTGGATTAAGGGAACACAGAGCATCCTTCACCTGCCAAGGTCTGAGCACAGGTGTGGGCACAGCAAGCGTCTGCCAGGAACACTGCTTACGGAGCCCCTCAGTGGAGTCCCAGCCTCCCTGCAGGGGGAGGCCACAGATGTCCCTGCCACCATTGGGTGGCACGTCACGTCAGCAGCAGATGGAAACGTGTGAAGGTCTGTGACGCTCGGAGGAACCCATGGTGGAGGTCCAGTGGTCCAGCTCTGGAGGTGTGAGTGATGCCGCTGCACACTGGCTTCCGTCAGAGCACAGTGTGTTCTCTCCTGGAGACGAGCCCAGCCTGAGCGCAGCAGGCCAGGGTGCACCCGTGATGCTGGGGAAGTGCTCAGACAAAAGCAGCTCCCCTTGAAGGGAAGGGCTAGAACACACGCAGAGCAGGAAGGGTCCCAGGAAGGTGTGCAGATTCTCTGGGAGCTCCTGTGGTGCAGGTGGGAGCTTGAGCCCTGGGATCCCTGAATGCCTCACTCGCCCTTCAGTTACCGGTGATCTGTCCTTTCGCATCGAGCAGCTCCACGGGACATCTGAGAAGGAACACAAGGACCACACTCAGTCTGGTCTTGTTCTTAAAGAAAATCAACCACACCAAAGGATAGCAAATACCTAGAAATTCTAGATATGTGGACAAAGGTGACATCGGTTTACTCTGGAAAGTCTAAACCCTGACCTAATGTGCCCAGCAGGGAACTGGYTGCTAGGGAGCAAGACGGGGATGACATCGTGGGCTTGTCACGATTCCAGTGGGGTCTGGCGGAGCACAGGTTCAATACGTGACCCGACACTGGAGGCCTCCGTGTGCCCACCGATTTTTGTCTGTCTTCCCTTGTTCTCTGCTGGCTCTAGGGTTAACTTACACACAAACCTACCTCCACTGTGGGCCTGTTAGAGCAGATTCTTAGGACATCCAGGAGTTCCCGAGAGTTTAAAGCACACAGTCTCGGATGGCCCTTCTCACACATGGTGAAAGCCATAGGAAAGAACCCTCTGACCCTCTCCTCTGCCCTCTCCCTGTGCCCTCTGTCTGCCCTCCCCCTTAACTCTCTCCTGCTCTGTCTCCTCCTTCCATTATGCTAATGGTGGCCTACATTTTATTTTTACTTATATTATATAATGTCCACAAAACATATTTGCTTTATATTCCCAATGATCTTTCAGAAAGTTTAGAAATGAAAAAAAACCACCTTTTGTATTTACCTTCAATTTTGCCATCTTTGAAGCTCCTCATTGCTTGTGTATGTTGTGGCTTCAACGTGTCCCCCCACCTGTGCTCATGGTTTGGAAACTTGGTCCCCAGTGCAGCTGTGTGGGGAAGGGTGCCTAAGGGCAGGTGATTACCAACGGGGTCATGTCCTCATGAGTGGACTGACACCCTCATCATGGGAATGGGGCTTTTCCAGGGGTGGGATTGCCCCCTTGCTCTCTCCTTGTCTTTGTCTCTCCATTACGGATGGCACTACTGCAAAGCCCCCATCGGATGGGGCTCTCTCAGCCCGCGACTTCCAGACCCCATAGCTGGGAGCAGACAACTCCCTTCTCATTGTAATTTAGGCAGAACAGACACAGACAGGGTCCATCCGAGTTTCTGTGTGAGGCTTTTCTGTCTCAAGACATTTTTGATGTCTTTTATTTATAAAAAAATTCTTGGCCACTATTTTCCAAAATGTTTCTCTTTCCAGTTCTCTTCCTCTACCTCTTCTGGGATGGTGACGGCACAGAGGCCAGACTGAGGCTCCTCCAAGTTCCCACGGGTTCCGGTGGTTCATCTGCTGCTCTGTTTTTCTTACGCAGTTGCTACTGACCTGTCTTCATCAGCACTTGGTCTTCCCTCAGCTGCATCAGTTCTGCTAACCAGTCCCTTAACCTTCGTCTCTCATTGGAGGATTTCCCCGCAGGATTTCCATTTGATTTTCTTGTTATTACCATCTCTCTACCAAAATTGCCCCTTCCCTTCAGGTACATCAGCCATCTTTCCCACTGGAATCGTTCCTATGATTTTCATGGTTATATTCACATCCATGTCTGATCTTCCCTCTCGTGAGCATGCTCCGCGTTTGGTTCTATCCCTTGCTTTATTGCTCTGCATAGGATTGTCCTTTCTTTTTTTTTTTCTTTTTGCACATCTCAGTCTTTCTTTGAAGCTGGACGCCATTAGAACCATGGAGACCCCAAGGAATGCGTGCAGCCTGAGCTGAGTGAGCCTCTTCTGAGTCTGAGGCATGGAGCCAGGTGGGAGTTGAGCTGGGCCAGGGTTGTGCAGCTGCTGTGGTCACGGGGCATGGCTTCTTCTGACCTCTGGCAGTGAGGTCGCACAGGTTGGCCTGACCTTCAGCCTCCAGTCCCTGACCTTCCGGTCCCTGAAGCCTTTTCTAGAGAGCCAGTCTCTCTCCCAAGCCTGCCCCTCCCCCAGAATTGCTGCTGCCACTTCCCCCCTGCTGTGCGCACTGGGCTCAGGGAGTCCTTTGAGTTGGGCTTTTCCTGACTGTGTCGTCCTGTAGAATCTGCAGATCAAGACGGGGTTCTCTCAGCCTTCCCGCCTGCCCTGCCAAGGCTGCCAAAGTCCACCTGAGGCTGGTCTGGGTGCTAGTTCCCTGCCAGTCCCAAGTGCAGGAGACCTCGATTTTGGAGCAGTCACAGGGTCTTGAGCTCCTGCCAGCTTTCCTGCCACGTCTCTGGGTGTGGAAATGCTTTGCTCTCCCTGCTCTGAGCTGCCTGCAGGCCCTGCACACCCCCCCCCCCCAGTTCCTTCACAGGAACTGGCAACTCTGTTTCTGAGGGCCAGGAAGTACCTGGGGTTCACAGAGCCCTGTCCTGGGGCTGACTACCCAGCGGGGACCCTCAAGGAAGAGCAAACCCCTCTGTGTGCCCACCATGGGCTGTGGGCTCGGCTGAGCCAGTCTCTGCGCTCTTCTGTGCCCTGCCCCAAGGTCAGCCTGTGTCCCCTCCTCCTGGAGGCGCTGTCCTTCAGAATCGGGGTCACCTGGGTACCTGCAACCTCAGCACCCTGAGGGATCCCGAGGAGCTGTGATCTTAGGGTCAGGCCTTTTCTCATTATTAAGGTGGGAGTGATGTTTCATTTTGCAGATTTCTGTGTCCCAAATGGATGAGATTTTTAAATTGCTCTAGTTCAAGATTTTTTTTTTTTTGACTTAGGGGTTTTAAAATTGCTCTAGTGGATTT